CCGTCTGGGCGTTTGCTTGTGTGTGAGAGCCGGCTGTTTAGTGTTTTGGACTGTTTATGGTTGTGAATCCGATGGGAGTTTTGTAAAATGGAAAAGTTTGAACTGTGACAGCGAGGAGTGCCTGGCAAGCGCTTATATACGTCCAGTTTCGAGGAGGACCCAATAGAGAGTTTGGGAGCGGAAATAAAAGCGAAATGAAATTAATACCATTCTCAAAGTTGGGGACCTCCAAGGCATGAAAGGAAGAGGATTTATAGTGCATGAACTGAGTGAGTTAACAGCAACCCGAAGGAGGATTTAACAAGCCGGAAGTAGAAGACAACAGAGGAAGCCCCTACACGTCAGCGATAGTAAAAGTGCCCAGCACGCAAAGATGCGGTTCTGACTGTGTCCAGAAGAGATTTTTCTTTTTTTTATTAACAGAAACTCAAGGGAACTCAAGGGAACATTAACAGAAATTCAAGGGAACATTACTAATATACTAACAGAGAATTATATGTGACTGAACTAAGAAAAGAAGTTTGACAACACACAGAAGAAGCCCAAGAAGATTAATTGGACATTACTAACAGTTTAATTTACCAGTTTATATATCACTCAGCTTTTTCTCTCTCCCGCTGTCTACCCTTCCCTTTTTTTTCTTTTAAGCGAAATACCTCCCCTTTTTAGGGGAGCTAATAAAATCTTTACAAAAAAAAAAAAAAAAAAAAAAGAAGAAGCTGCCATATTGGTAGAGATGTGAGTCCTGGAACTAAATGAGGAAAAACAAACAAAAGTGTCCTGTCCCCCCTGGACTTCTAAAAGATTTTCCCAGAAAAAAAATTGGGACATTTGGAAAGCCCTGGAAAAAACCCAACCCTTCTATGAGATGTATTCTCTATTTGTGTGAGGAAAAGCCTTATCTTACAAACCATTTCACTCATTTCAAATGTAAAGCATGAAGAAGTCTGAAGAATTTCTAATGTAAAAATGTGTTAAGTTTGGGAGCATTGAAAAAACCCTCACAGTATAGACAATTACAATGTTTTCAAAAAATTTTTTGTTTAAATGTAAGCAGTTTTGGCAACAGTTAACGTTACAGTGTGTTTCGTCATAATACATGGTTAAAGAGTTCAGTGTTTTCTGTGTTATCAGGTTCAATTTAATATGTTGACTGTTGTGCTTGTATGACAGAGTTCACTTCCTTTTGTTTACTCCAGAAATTGTCCTCCAGATTTTATTTCTCCTGCCTCCCAGATGGCAAACATAAAAATTGCATGTGCTGTGGTAGCATAGGCTGCAAGAGTCTGCAACCCTTTTCCAACTACTTGGTATACCTGCAGTGTTTTGTGCAGGAAGCAAAGTTACTTATGCTGTTAAATTCCATAAATACACCAGACAGGACCATTTATATGTTTACTAAGCTTTATATGATACTTTTAATGTTACTAAAGCAGTAAAAATTTAGGTTTGTTAGGAAAATAAGTATTGCCTATATTTCAGTTGTTTCCAAAATTTGGATCCCCCCCCCCCCGCTTCAGAATCTTCAGAAATGTTACATCTCTACATGTAGGTTTCCTGACCTGACTTTTAGACTGTCACACATCAGCTGTGCAAGTTTCCTTCTGGAAACCCAGTTCTCAAGTGCACAGGGCCCTGATTTCATGTTGGGACCATGGTGCACATGGAAGCTTGTGCCCTCCCCTGGGCTGTTTTGGGTTGGAAAAACTGTGGTGGAGGCAGATGACCTTTCTTGCTGCATGCTGGGTTCCTGATCCAGATAAGACCCCTGGTTGTTTGGGAACTGAGCTTACAGCTAACATGTGACTGACTGAAAGTTGGGTTGTGGAACCAGCCCCAACCTATAGCTAGCGGTGACATGTAGATGTACCTAGAGCAGTGGCTCTAAAGCACCCAGGAATTTCTCTTTGTACCACATATATGTGTGCTGCCTTCTTAAGCTGATGTTTCTTTACTTCAGGGGAAAACTGTTCAGAATTAAAGTTCTGTGGCAATGAGTATCTTGCTCCCCCCCCCCCCCCCCCCATCAAAGGACACAAACACACAAAAGTTAATGATGATGTAGGGTGTATATTGTCATGTGAGTCTCTACAGGATAATTTTTTTAGGAAGCATCTGTTTTGATTATCAGAATGAGTAGTCCAGGCTTGTTTCAAGGTAAAATTTTGCCCCTGGAAGTCTTTCCTGATACAGCCTTAGCTTTTTTATTAGCAGTCTAAAAATTTACACTGTCCATAGTCAAAACTGTTGTTCTCTCTTTCTTTTTCATAACAGAGATTGGGATGGTGACCTGAAAAAGCTGCCAAACATTAAAATGAGAAGACTATCCAGTAGAGATGCCGTTACTACTAGGATGGAGAAAGCATGTGTTGAAGCTGAGAAGGAACCATGTACAGCAAAGGATGTACACTAATGAACAGCTGCTGACAAGAAGATGAAAGCTGAAGCAGATTGCTGAGCTACTGTTTTAATTAACAGCAGGAGCAGTGAAATGCCAAAAGACCCAGCTCTCTTGCCTATGCAAATAGCATTTGGTCTCAGCCTTCAGTTATGGTGTGAAACACTGGGACGTTATGTCACTATCTTTCAGTTTTTAATATAGTTGAGGTTTGTAAAGGTAATGGAGAAGACTCTTAAAGGCACGCTAGATGTTATAGTGGCCTAATCAAACTTGGATTTTACCAAATTTATACATGCTTGGTGCGGAGGAAGAAGGAAGCTGGACTCTTCCCCTGCCAATCTCTCTACCGTCTTCTCCCCCCAACTGAGAGGCAGTTGTGGAAAATAAGTTTGAGGGGGCATATATGGCTAAAGAATAGGCTAGCTCCCCCATTTATGCCCTACCCCCATTTTATTCTAACTGGACAGGTCTACCTCCGTAATGCCTGGTTTGGCCATAGTTTTCTCTCTCTCACAAACACACTGAATCCATGTTTTTTAAAGATAACACTCTAAGCTTATGGAGGTATATCAGAGCTGTAACTGGTATGACATAGTGGCATGTGATACATGCTTGTCAGTGCCAGAACTGTTGTTCTTTTCTTCACGTTTCCCCAGTATTTTTTCCAATCAGCTTTCCTAAGCCAGCTGCAAAAATGTGTTGAAGGCCAGGAAGGGTAGTAGGTAGCTGTGGCCAGTGCACTTCGATCATCTTTCTAACTTCCCTCACACTTCAATCAGGGCCAAAACCAGACCAGGTACTGGTGTGCTGTGTGTATAGAGTGCCCAAGTATTCACATTTCATGATAGGTGGACTTGGCCCAGATTCAGATTGGCACTGCATCTTTTTTCCTAACTGGAACAACCTTGTGGAGTGATTGTTTACCACAGAAGAGCTAACTTGCAAGTCCTGTACAAGTTTTTTTTTACAAAAACCCGCTTGGTTTTTTAACCCAGACCATTAAGTCTTCTGTACCATTTGTGTCAACTATATTTTACTATGCTTCCTGAATGGAGGATAATGCAAGAAATTAACCTTGAATAACTGGATCGAGAATGGGTGGAAGCAAGTCTGGAAGGAACCTGAAGTAGTTGTTATAACATTTGTTCTCAATTCTTCTACAATATAGAATCTCTCTAGTACCTGCATAAATGTTAATTTTCACCATAAATTAAATGTTTTCTGATTTTCAGAATGTATTTCACCAGCAAGCAAAGTTGTTTTGAAATGTCATGTCACTATTGTGATATCAACCATCATCTAAATACTGCTAGAATCTGAGTAATACAGCTAAGACCAAATTGGTGACATCAGCCAAGGCAGAAAAGGACTATTTCTTAAAGACACACACACTCCAAATTATATGAAGCATTTTTGCAGAGTTATGACTGTCCTTAAAGCAAGTGCACTAAAATAAAAGACATTTTTGTGTGTATGCACCAAATTAAACCTTGACATATTCAATTGTTTTTGAAATTATTCTCATATGTAACTGAGAAATAAATACCTGCTTCTGTACTGAGATTGTGCTCACATGTTAACTTACCTAATAATGAACCTCCTTTAGTGCTGTTAGTTGTTGTAGATTTTCCTGGCTGTATGACCATGGTCTTGGCATTGTAGTACCTGACGTTTCGCCAGCAGCTGTGACTGGTATCCTCAGAGGAATAACACAGAAAGATGGAGTACTCTCTGCGTCAATGTGAGAAGAAAAATGGTAGGCAGGTAATTTATATCTACTCAAGAAGGTGGGGTAAGGCTGAGTCATTATCTTGTCGGAGTTTCCCAGGCTGTGACATGCTAATGGAGGAGCTCTCCTGAGGAGGTTCTTTTGCATATGGATTGGCTGCTGAAGTTCTAATCTTATCTGTAGTGCTTCATAAGATGTAGAGCATTTTGTGTTTTTCAGGACTGGAAAACATACCCTATTTATTTTTAAACTCTCTTCGTTCCTGTTGAAATTGTGTTTATGCTTATGAATTTCAATGGCTTCCCATCTGATCAGTGATTCCTTTGATATATGGCAAAACACTTTTCCTGTGGGAGACTGTTTTTCCTCAGTTGTTTGTTTTACCTTTGGTTTAATTGCTTTTCTGATTTCATTCTTGGAGTAGCCATTTGCTTGAAGTGCATGGTTTAGATGATTTAGTTCATCGATGAGAAAGTGCGGTTCACATATCTGTCTTGCACGGTCTAGATTATGCCTCTTTTTTGCTGTGGGTGGTGATTGGAGTTTTTGTGTAAATAACGATCTGAGTTGGGTTTCTATAGACCCTGTGACCTAATTGAAGTTTAGCTTTGTGGATGACCATGATATCTAGAAATTGGAGTTTACCCTTGATTTCTTTTTCCATGGTGAATTGTATGTTCGGGTAAATGAGGTGGTCTAAAAACTCCGTCAATTCTACCTCTCCATGGCTCCGAATGATAAAGGTATCATCTAAGTACTGGAACCAGAATGTAGGTTTGTGGTGTGCAGATTCTAAAGCTGTTTTTTCAAAATGTATAACCAGGCTGAGAGGACTTCCCATGGCAATCCCATCCATCTGTTCATAGAATTTGTTATCCCATTGGAAGTAACTAATTGTCAAACAATGGTGGAATAAGGCTATTATGTCCTCTAGAAAAATCTGATTAAGAAGTGCAAGTCTGTCTTTTACCGGAGCCTTGGTAAAAAGAAGTGCTACATCAAAACTGACGAGTGTGTCCTGTGGATTGAGGTTCAGAGGACTGATTTTGTTGATGAAATGTGTTGAATCTTTGATGTATGTTGTGGTTTTACTGATGTGGTTCTGTAGAAGATTGGCCAGATATTTAGCTAATTCATATGTAGGGGAACCAATGGCACTCATGATGGGTCAGAGTGGGACTGAGTCCTTATGAATTTTAGGGAGTCCATATAGTCGTGGTGGCTGTGCTTCTGTCTTGCATAGTTTTTTTCTGCGTGTCAGGATGAAGTGAGGAATTCCTGATAAGCGAGCTTGTTTGCCTGGTGATTTTGCAGGTTGGATCTCATTTTAATTTTTTTTATGTGGTGGGGTCCAGAAGTTCTCCAATCTTATTTTTTTGTATTCTTCCATTTTCATGATCAGTGTGCAATTGCCTTTGTCAGCTGGTAGTGTCTTCAGCTACAGTTCTGCAGACAGAATCCCATTTGACTTTACTAAGAGTTATATAACTAAACTGTGTCTAGGACTGCAGCTTTGCTTTTTAATTGCTGTCTGTGCACCCAAGTGTTTTATTTTTCACTATCATTTTAGCTCAGCATCTGTGGGTCATTGTGTGGCTAGGAGGTTATACTGTTAGAAAAACTGAAAAAGGAGAAAAAAACACCCTAATTCTTCTCCTTAATGAGGGGGATTGACAAAAAAAATGATTGTGTAAGGGCCAAATCTCAAGTCAGCTTTGACTGTTGTTTTTGACTTAGAACTGTAAACTGGATTCCCTTCCAGCATTACTTTGTCAGGCAAAGCTTATGCAGTTTTGCTAATGATGAAAGAAAAAAGAGGTTTGACCCCCTGTTCTGGATGGAGTTGCACTCCCAGTAAAGGAACAAGTTTATAGCTTGCGGGGTGTTCCTGGTCCTGGCCCTCGTGTTGGATAAAGAGGTGGCAGTGTTGGCCAGATGTGCTTCTCACTAGCTTTGGCTGGTGAGCCAGTTGTAGCCTTTCCCTGGGTATGAAAGATCTTGTGATGGTGGTGCATGCCCTGATAACATCTAGATGTTGACTACTGCAAAATGTTCTACATGGGTCTCACCTTGAAGACTGTCCAGTAGCCACAATTAGTACAGAATGCCGTGGTCAGAATGTTCAGTAGAGTGAGTCATAGGAACCATATCACCTCAGTCTTGTTTCATCTACACTGGATCCCAGTTTCCTTCCAGTCCCAGTTCAAGGTGCTGGGATTGACTTTTAAGGTTGTATACAGGGTAAGGGCAGCATACCTTAAGTACTACCTTCTCCCATATGAACATACCCATCCACTCTGGTCATCTTTGAGGCCTTGTTTCAGCCATTTGAGGCTAGACAGGTGGCAATCTGAGAAAGGGCCTTCTTAGTCATGATGCTGAAACTTTAGAATGCCCTCCCAAATGATATAAATGCCTTTTCAGTTCACTTGTGCCTGGTTTGGAGAAGGCCTTTCTCCACACCTGGAAGGGAACCCTATTCTACTTCTTCCCTCCATTCCCCTTGATCTCCCAGGTCATTCAGAAGATTGTGGCCGATGCCACGTCGTGCATCCTTGTCACTCCATGGTGGCCGCACCAAGTCTGGTTTCTGCACCTCCTTCGTCTCTCCAACCGGACATTTCGGCCACTGCCTGTCGTCCCCGATCTCCTCTCTCGGGCTTGAGGAAGGATCCTCCACCCCGATCTGGGTTTCTTCTGATTAACTGCCTGGAAGATCCTGCACTAGACTTCCTGCCTGAAGTGTCTGAAGTCCTCCTGAATGCCAGGAAACCCTCTACCCGTACCACTTACCATTTGAAGTAGAAGAGGTTCCAGTCGTATGCCTCTGATCACTCCTTCGATCCCGTCCAGTCGTCTCTCCATGAGATTTTTTCCTACGTCGTCTCCTTTAAAAATAATGGCCTTGCATACTCATCTTTAAAGGTCCATTTAGTGGCCATCTCTGCCTACCATCCCTTGATACAGGGATCCACAGTCTTTTCCCACCGTCTTACAAAATCGTTCCTTAAAGGTCTCCTCTGGCTCTGTCCCCCTAGGAAGCCCTTGGTGCCTTAGTGGAGTTTGTCACTCATTCTCACTCAACTTATGTCCAAGCCGTTCAAGCCCATGGGTACAGTCGATCTCAGGTTGCTCTCCTGGAAGCCTTCCTTATAGCGATTATGACGGCACGCAGAGTAGGGGAACTAGCTGCCTTTCAGGCTGATCCCCTCTATACAATTTATCATAAGGAGAAGGTTGTCCTTAGACCAGATCCTTCTTTCCTGCCTAAAGTCGTTTCTGCTTTTCACCTGTCCCAGTCGTCTGTCTTACCATCTTTCTTTCCGAATCCGACTGATGCATCTCAGAGAGCCCTCCACTGCTTCGATGTGCGCAGAGCGTTCTCTTTTTATTTACACAGGACTCAGCCTATATGTAAATCTCCTCGGCTGTTCCTTGCCTATGGTCCCCCTCATGTCGGGGAGCCGATTTCCTCTCAACGCTTGTCTAAATAGGTGACTTCCACCACAGTCCTTTGCTATGAGCTTGCACGTCAACCCATCCCTACCTGTGTCACTGCCCATTCTACATGGGCAGTATTGACATCCACCACTTTCCTGGCTGGTGTTCCGTTGGAGGACGTCTGTGCGGCTGCTACGTGGTCCTCAGCATCGACTTTTGTGACCCACTATGCACTCGACGTCTGAGCTCGATGTGATGCTGCATTCGGCCAGTTGGTGCTGCGATCACTCTTCGCTTGACCCTGCTACGTCTTCAGGTAGGACCCATGGGTGTTTCTTCTCACTGATGATGCTGTGTCTTAACCAGTATTCTTTGTGTCTCTTGCAGCTGCCAGCTCCCTCCTCCAACTGGTTCAGCTCTGGTAATCACCCATGTGTGAGACTGCACAGAGACCACGACGAAGATAAACAGGTTGCTTACCTGTAACTGATTATCTTCGAGTGGTCATCTGTGCAGTACCACAATCCCACCCAGCCTTCCCCACTGCTGGCATCTCCTGTTCACCTCTCTTTGGCTTGATGGGACTTACCAGTAGCGGTCGAAGGAACTGAGTGGGAGGTGTCTCTCTCCCCCGCTCCAGGCATGTGCAATACGTGCCTGCTCCCCAGGGCGGGAAGAGAGCCCGCCAAAAGCTTTCTGAGGCAAAGCTCTAGAAGTTTCTCCAGTCAAGGTCTTGCGCAAGCACCCAACCCATGTGTGGTACTGCACAGATGACCACTCGAAGATCATCAGTTACAGGTAAGCAACCTGTTTTTTCAGACTGACCCTGCCTATGGTTGCTGACAGAGTTCTGGGAAGTGTGAGGGCCACCGTGTGTGCTCTGGACTCATGCCCATCATGCGTTTTAAAATCTTGCCAGGCAAAAGGTATTGGAGCCATTAGTGAAAATCATCAACTCCTCCCTGATTGAGGGGGGTTCTCTCTAAGCCTTTGAAGGAGGCAGCCATTAGACCTTTGCTTAAAAACCTTCATTGGTAGGGATGAGGTGGTTGAGTCCAGGCTAGCCTCCAATTTACCTTTTCTAGAGAAGGTGATAGAGCATGTGGTGGCAGAGGAGCCTCAGGGTTTCCTGAATGACACACATGGTCTTGACCGATTTCAATCCAGCTTCATGCCTGGGTTTGGTATCAGAGACGCTCCAGTTGCACTGGTGGATGATATTCATCTAAAGCTGACAGCAGACAGTCTTCTCTGTTGATACTATTGGTGCCTTTCATACAGTCGACTACTCCATTATTATCCATTGGCTTGAATATGGAGTTAGTATTAAGGGTATAGCCCTTCAGTGGTTTCACTCTTTTTTTCTCTGTTCAGACACA